GGGGGGGTCGGGGGGCTCATGGCAGAGCCCCCCATGCAGCATGGGGCAGTGGGGGGCAGCACATATCGCCCCCCCTGCCTGGCAGCACCTGGAAAGTGGGGGCTTTTTTGGTAAAGTACTGGGGTGGGCAGGGCAGCCATGGCGGGGCTTGGGGAGCAGGCAGGGGTGTTAGGGGCTGGGGGAGCAGGCAGGGGATGGGGCCTGGCAGGACTCCCCTCATTGTCCCCTCTCCCCTCCAGCCCCCGCCTCCCCTGCCTCTACTTACCAGCTCTTAGTCCGGCTGCAGTTCCCTGCTGCAGCGGGTGGGGACTGCCTGAAGCATCAAAGCTCTCTGAATCTTTTCCAAAGATTCGGAGAGCTTCAAATCGATTCAGACCTTTTTATTGGTCCCCTGATTCGATTCGGATTTGGAGATTCAGCCACTGAATCGGGCCGAATCTCCTCCTAATCAAATCAGCACCCGAAGCTTCGCACAGCCCTAATAAAAATCAGTGGCTACTTTTAAACTCTGACATTGGCTCCTGAGAAAGGAGCAATAACATATTGCCTATGAAGAAGAAGACAAAACTTGAATAAAGTTAGTTCCTAAAATAAACCATTCAGGGCATAAAAACAGAAAAATAGTACCCAAATAAAAGATTTCGGAATGGTTTGTTAAGAGATTTGCCCTTTTTTTTGGAATGTTTGTAGCACATGAGCAGGATATGATGGCAGCTTGAAATGTGGCACATACGTTCCTCTGTTTCTGTGGAACTTTCAGAGACACATTTGATAAGATCTTAAAAGTGTATTTTTGGTATATGTCCTGTACTTGTAAGGTTATTTCTTAAAAGTCTGCCAGTGTTTTCCTGATGCATGCTTGCACAGCTTTGCAACATTCATAGGCAGAACTGTGCTGAGTGTCTGTACGTACGTGTAGTAACAGCAACAACAGATCCATACACAAACTGCCTTCCCTCCCCCTCGGATGGATTTAGATAGCTCCCCTTTACAAAGGAGAATTCTTACATTGTGTCTTTTACCCAGTGCCTTTAAAGAGATTAGTTTTATATCAGATACGAGGATTTTCTTGTGTGCACAAGCTTACATTCATAGATATTCTCACCACTTAAAAAGTCCAGGCTTGGAAATTCTGCTTTGATCACTGCTGTATAAATGTGGTCCCTCTAAATTCATCAGATGTGCTCTGTCACAGCCTCTGGAGTCCACAACAAAAGTACTGTTTCTACTTCTCCCTTTATCTGATTACATAAAGAGTTAGGCCCTTCTTACTGCTCTTGGAGATATAGGTGCAGATCATATATACTCCAGATCATATATACTCCTTCTTTGCTAGGTTCTACACAACATGTACCTTAAACCCCTAGAACCAGCTGAACAAGCCAGGGTGGTTCTTCTTCCTTACCCACCACCACAAGGCATTGTACTTATGCAGGATCTTACTATGCAGTGCTATAAGCTTCCTCCCCACTCCCATCACTGTCTGAACTTAGATCTTGGCACTGTTGAGCACAGCTGCCACTTTACAAGCATTTAGCAGTCCAACACCACCACTCTAGCTAGCTGTCTGTCTTATATTCCTGTCCAGCACAAGTCATGACAGGACAAGCTAGACACTGGAAAATTCAGCCATGAGGTGGTCAGGAGACAACTATATCCAGCACCACGCAAGAGACAGACTGTTGCTCCACACAAGGTCAAATCAGATGAATACCAGCACCTCTACTATGTGCTGGTCAACATGAGATCAGTC